GATTGGTCTCATGGGGTTGTTTCTAATTAATGGCCAATCACAGTCAGCTGTCTTGGACTCTGGTCAGTCACAAGCCTTTGTTATCATTCTTTTTCTATTCTTAGCTAGCCTTCGGATAAAATAATTTCTTCTATTCTTTTAGTATAATTTTAATATATCAAAAAATATATCATAAAATAATAAATCAAGCCTTCTGAAACATGGAGTCAACATTCTCATCCCTTCCCTCATCCTCAGACCCCTGTGAACACTGTCACACTGGGTCACCTCAGGGAGGGGACACAGCACACCCAGTGGGGCTGATCCCACACAGCACATCCCAGCTCACCTCGCTGTAGATGTTCTTCTGGAATTCCAGCTCCTCCTTGAGGGTCTGCAGTCGGTTCTCGGCATCCACGCGCCGCAGCATCTCATCCTGCAGCTGCTTCTTGGCTTCACCCAGGGCGCTTTCCAGCTGCCAGGGGATGGAGAAGGAACATCACAGAGGGCTCTGGGCATGGCTGGGGACCCCCACCCAATTGCATCTGCCCCACAGCCCCTGGCAGCCCCAGGCAGGAGGGGAAAAGGGATCCTTGGGTCAGCTGGAGACAGCTCTGCCACTGCTCACCTTGGCCACTTGTCCCCTCAGGTCCCGCACTTCATTTTCCAGGTTCCTCTTCTCACCCAGGGCCGTGGAGAGCGCGGCCTCCTTGGAGTTAAGCAAAGCCTCCACGTCCTTCAGGCGTGCCTGGGCAGTCAGCAGGTCCCCTTCCTTCTTGGCATTCCTGCAGGGCAAAGGGTGGCACAGGTGAGTGGCACGGCAGGAATAATCACAGTCACCAGGAAATGATGGAGCTGCTTTGGTTCAAAGGGACCTTAGAGCTCATCTAGTTCCACACCCTGCCAAGGGCAGGGACATCTTCCACTATCCCAGGTTGTTCCAAACCCCGTCCAAGCCGGCCTGGAACACCTCCAGGGATCCAAGGGCAGTCACACCTTTTCTGGGCAACCTGTGCCAGGGCCTCAGCACCATCACAGGGAACAATTTCTTCCCAATGTCCCATCTAACCCTGCCCTTTGGCAGGGGGAAGACATTTCCCCTTGTCCTNAAAGGCACTGTGCTCCACTTGAGACAGGACAGCAGGCCCTGTGGCACGCAGCTCCAGTGGGTATGGCTGCGCTTCTCCCTGTCCTATGTAAAAAGCTTTGGCAAAAAAGGTACAATGTAAGGAGCATTTCAACTACAAACTCCTCCTGCATGGCTGCTCTGTAAACACAGTTCTTTGCTGTCTTTGGCTGAAGTTCTAAAAAATATTTGAAGCTGAAAAGCTATTTTTTGGTTTGGTTTTCTTTATATAGAAATAGATTTTTTTCTTTACAAAAAAAAATCAAAGCATCTTTTAGCACTTTTAATATATATATATATAAAATTCCTGCTATAGAAAACAAAACAAAAAAAAAACAACCTTGGTTTTTGATATCTTGTTTTTTTAAAGGGAAAAAAATTTCTTTGCTTTGGGAAAAAAAAAACAAACCTAACTGGAGACAGGCAGGAACCACAGGAATGCGCCATGGAATTACATGATGCTGCAGTTCTGCACAGCCTGAGCCTGGAAGGGAGAAAGAAAAAGAGAGTTAAGAAAACCCCAGTGTCACCATCCACTTGCTCTGACTGCAAACTGTCCAGTGGGATCCTTTGGATGCCCACAGTGCTCCCAGGTTCTCCTCCATCCTAACCCTTGGGGTGTGATAAATAAATCCTCCCAAGCTGGGATGTTCATAGTTCCAAAATTTGAGGATTAAGGGTAGGTGATATATGAGGATTATAATATTGACTAAAAGTATCAATATTGAATATATAGTATATTAATCTAATATATAGATATAAAATGATGAAATATTCACATTACCAGCATGAACACTCAGCAGCAGCGGAATGAGTGATGTGGTGTCACAGACATCTTTTATGAAAAATCATTTTTTAAGATTTTTTTTCTTGAGAAGCTGAGAGGCTTCAAGAAAAAAATGTAAACAATGGTTATCTGCTGCTGAAGAATTCAACAGGTGCATCTGTGATTGGTCTCATAGAGTTGTTTCTAATTAATGAACAATCACAATCAGCTGGCTCAGACTCTCTGTCTGAGCCGCAAACTTTTGTTATCATTCTGTCTTTTTTTTCCATTCTTAGCTAGCTTTTTGATGAAATCTTTTCTTTAATTCTTTTAGTATAGTTTTAATATAATATATATCATAAAATAATAAATCAAGCCTTCTGAAACATGGAGTCAGATCCTCAACTCTTCCCTCATCCTAAGACCCCTGTGAACACCATCACAACGTGGAGGATGGGGAATGCTCTGGGGTGCCAAGGGGGATGAGTGAAAGATTAAATGGGGTGGGAAGCATCACTTTCCAATCCCTCTCAGAACCCTCTATCCCTTATAAAGAACCTGTGAGCTCAAAGAGAAAGAGCAGGGAGAAGGAGAGCTGGGAGAGGACAGGATTGCAGGGAGGGGACAGCATTGCAGGGAATGCTCTGGGGTGCCAAGGGGGATGAGTGAAAGACAAAATGGGGTGGGAGGCTGCTATGGCCACATCCTTTTCCAATCTCTCCCAGAACCCCCCATCCCTTATAAAGAGGTTTGTGTGAGCCCAAAGAGGAAGAGGAAGAGCAGGAGAAGGAGACCTGGGAGGGGACAGCATTGCAGGGAATGCTCTGGGGCGCCAAGGGGGATGAGTGAAAAATGGAACGGGGTGCCTTGCAAAGAGGAAGAAGAGCAGGGAGAAGGAGAGCTGGGAGGGGACAGCATTGCAGGGAAAGGACACTGACAGCACAGGGTGCCCC